TCAAATTTGTTTCTCCATATGTTTTCCAACAGTGCTGTGGACTTCACCTGCACCATCCAGATAAGAAGCCCACTTTCCCTCCCTTATCCTATCCCTCCTCCTTTGCTATTCTTAACTTCTAGGAAGGGGAGGGTAGCAGAATTTCTATCGGGGTGGCCCTGGACCTTGCCTGGGGCCCCGTTCCTCCTATAAAACTCTGTTTACTGGCTGATAACATACTTGGGGTGGAGTGTGGCTTTCTCTCTCTTCTCTTGGAGCCCTGAGCAGCTGGGGTGCATAGTTCCTCATCAGTCCATCCCCTTCCCCCTGCTTGTCCCAGGTGACTCACGGTGAGAGGCATGGATATCCAACACTCACTGCTGTTCCATAGCATCAGTTTTATTTCTCAAGCTTTTTCTCTTTTTATGCATTTATTTTATTGGTTTTGCTTGCTTCTTTTTTTGCTGAACAGCAGATGCAGGAGATTGCTCTAATTCTTGAAAAATTTTGTTGCCCTGCATGGCCTTGAATAGTTTCCCTCAGAGTAAGATTAGCTTTTGCAACTAAGGAGGTAGCAACAAAGTGAAATGAATTAAATTGGGTGCAGTCGTATATTAAAGTTGATTTCATAAAGAGTTGGAAAGATGTCTGCATTCACTCTGAGTTCTGCATTTGTTACTTGCAGTGATAAAAGCACTATTTTTTTTTTTAAACCGGGTGAAAATTCATTTGCCCCTTAGCAATAATAACCACAACATAAATCATTGTGTGCATAAAGTAGACTGTCAAATATTACACATACATGTCTGCATATATGGTATATCTATGTATAAGGACATGGTCTGACTGGTATACACAGAATTAAATGTTCTCCCCTGCTTTGATGCACATATTTCTGAAATGCAAAGAGGCATTATTTTATTTCTATGCAAACCTTGGCCTTTGCTTTCTTGCCACTGTTCTTGCCTCACAGTTTTGATGGTGCTTATGTGTGGAGGTGTAATACTGAGAACTTGAAAACTGGCTTCAGTGTGGCATCATGCATGCTTTTCTTAGCTGCTCAAGGTTCCTGTGGAGAGAGAGATGTTCTCACCCCTTCACAGAAACAGTCCCCTTAGTTAACAGGGGAATTGCCTTAGTTAAAAGACAAATTGAGAATCAATTGCCTTTAGTTTACTGTTTGCTTAATAAAATATATGAAAAATACTTACATATATTGTGTTTTACTGCAAAAATGTCTCTTGGTGTAGTTACAACTATAACACGGAGGTGTTTTATAAATAAAAAAAGGATATGAATTCCTTACACTATTTTTTCTCCCTAAGAATAATTGCATAATTTTGCTGTCTGCTTTAAAAAACAACACTTAATGTTATCCATTATGAATTTACAATTGTTTTTATTAGAGCTATTCTTATTGTAACCTACTACGCAACTGCATTACTTGCAAACCTAACTTGATGTATAAATTTAAGTATTTTGTGTATGATAAACTGGGCAATGGCTTCTCTGTAGGAATAAATGAGGATCTGATCCTGCAAAGGACAGACCATACTAAACTAATAAACTTTCTGTATATAATAGCAAACCGTCCAAAAAAGAATCCAGTTTTTCACCTGTGCCTACTCTATTTATGCAAGTGTAGAGGCTCGCTGCAACTGAACCATATCCTGAGATGTCTCCGCTAGGCTTGTTTCGAGTTAGTCTAGGCTTTTGATGAAACTCATCACCTTTAACTCTAGCTGGGTAACAAAGCACTGCTGTTAGGTGCATAGCGAGTTACATTTCCTGACAAACTCGTAACTGCCTTCCTTATGAGATCTAGTTCATGAATTGAATGTGTGCAATGCTGGCGGGTACTATAAGTAGCGATAGTCTAATCTAAAAGTGACAGCAGTGTGCATTGCATTTGGTAACTCTGTGTCCAAAATAAAGGCATGCAATCTTCAGAGCAGACCATTCAGGTTTTTGTCCTAAATCTTGGTCACAATGGCTTTGATTGTTAAGAGCTACTTGGTAATCTCCTCTAGCAAAAGAACGTTTTTCCATCAACAGGAGGGGATTTCGTAAGTTCAAAAATTGATATATTTAATCAAGTTCCTTCAGTAAATTAAAAAACTAAGGGAGGTGAATTGGTGAGTTACACTTTCCTGGGTATGTCTTAAAGTACATATCTAGAAAATTAAACTGTACATTATGTTGAGACAGAGGCATATAATTCAGGTCCAAATTCAGAAGACGTTTTCACCCTGGAGATCCCACTGGCTTGGATCTGACTGTATGACATACATTTGAGCATCTCTTCCAACTGTAATGACTTATTTTCCAACAGTCATACACAAAGTTTGCTTTGGGATGGGGTCCGTAGTAATGAATTGAGCCACAGTTTTCATAGAGCGGCAAGGGTACGGTAATTGTATTAGACTGCTGGTAGATAATCTTGTAAGGAATACCACTTGATATAACCAAGTGGTACAAAATGAGCTGAAGTCTTTTGATATTTTCCTGTATATTTTGAAAGGTCAGACTTCTGGCAGTCTTGTGTTACTGACAGATGTGTAACCACCAAAGCAAAAGATGATTTTGGTCATCCGAGCTAAGGACAAGTACAAAAGCAGGTACAATGTCTTTTTAGAACTGAAGTTTATTGTGGAATAATTAGCTAATGCAAGAATCACAGCCTTGGATCCTCTTTTTGGCACATTCATCTTATTTATGAATGCAAATCATTTATATTATTTACTGTACAATAGCTATAGTTAGTGCTGAGATGGAGCAATAGGACCAAGTAGTTAAGCACATAAATATATTTTGCCTTTCCTCAGCTTAGGAATATCCTAAGCATTAAAATTAACTAGCCAGAAGCTTTTTCTAAGCATCCTAAATCACAGCAGTTAGTTAGGTATACATGATGGAGTGGTGCTTCTTCAATTGATAAAATTGTGCATTGCATCTCTAACTACAAGGTACTAGCATCTAAACACAATTAAAATTATATCACATGCTAAACTGTATGTAATGAAAGTATTGAATAGCTTTGATGACCATTTGTGAAGTGAGAATTAAGTTTAAACATCTTTATATTTCAAACCACTAGGATTTTTATCTTCTGCCTTAGAAACTGTTTGCTTAATGAGTTTAGTTAATGAAGTCATTAACAAAAGGACTTTTTAACAAATTCAAGGCTGAAGGCCCTTGCCTTTTTTCTGCCTGAGGTTTAATTCTTAGGCTGGTCTTGACAAGCTACGCCTTCCCTCTTCCATTTTTCGGTGCTGCTCAGAGGAGAGTCAGGCTCTGCGCAGGTGGCTGTGCGAGCTGCTTCCCCACGGCGCCGTGGGACGCTTCCGTCCTGATTTACTGCTGGGGCGCTTGGGTTATTTGAGCACCTGTGAGTTTCTGAGCTTTGTTCACTTCTATTGAAGTCAAGGAGAGAAAACAATCTGACAACTTTTGATGTTAGGCTATTAATCACAGCATAATACATTTTAATCCTTTTTTTGTCATCATGTTTGTTTGAGTGCTAAGCCATCCAGAAAGACCCAAACCAACAGGCTGATTTTTAGACTGAGATCAGTTACCTTCAGTATAGGGAGTTAGGAGCTTTCCAGTGATGCAGATTTTACAAGATCAGGTTCTGATACTCATATTTAAGTTTTTCTTCTATTCAGGCTCTCTTAGTTGATTTATTATGCTTCTCACTCATGATAAGCCTGGAGGAAAAACAAGTGCTATGCTCTTTATAATCCTGAAAGATCATTAGCCCTTTTCCCTTTTTCCTTTTCCCTTACCTTATTCTCTTTTCCATCCTAAACCTTGTTTGCTGTCTTTACCTTATAGAACATATTCCCCAAGCAACTTAGTGTTCCTATTTTTCTTCTATGGCCTCTTTCTGCATTGTTTATTATTCCGATATCATTCAACAATGGCACATATATTCTTAATGAGGACTCTCTCATGTGTAGTAGATAAGAACAGACACCTCACACATCAATGAAGCTTTTCTTTCTAGTTTAGAATTACATTTGCCATTTTTCTCATGTCCATATTGTTGATTTACAGAGACAATGCTTTTCAGCTGACTTTTGGCTTACCTTGCATGGAGAGAGGAAGGTTAACTTGAGATCACTAGTATTGATTAACAGCTTCTTCAGTGTTTTAAGTTCTAGCTAACTCTGGTGAATGGTGGTGCAAGTGTGTGTCTGAAAGATTACTCTAATTTGTCAGCAGGAGGTAGTAGAAATCCAAACCTCGTGCAGGCACCACTGTCCTGAGTTTTCCTGTTCTTTGCTGATTTTGTTAGCGCTATACTAGTGTGTGTATGTGTGTGCAGACTTTATGGTTAAAGGGTGACACTCTGTCTTGTGTTGTGACAGCTAGTTTGCAGGGTTGATGGGTTGGGAGGAGGTGATCAGTTGTGCAGCAATGCTTAGGTTACAGGCACTGCCATCAGGCCCCAGGAGAGCCCACGCACCACTCAGCCTTTTTATAATTTTTGACATCTCCCCATCTCATTCAGCTTAGTCGGTAGAAGATGTTTTCTTAGGTCTTTTGGAGCCAATGACTAAGGTATAAAAAATACTTAAAGCAGGTATTTTGGGTAGATAAGAGGTAATCCTTAAAGACATAATGAGACATTATTTTAGGCAAAAATGGCATGTCAAATATTTATTGGGGCATAGTGCCTGTTGGATACAGGATGCTTGATTTGAAGGAGCATTCGTTGGATATGTCTTGTGCATAGTTGAGTCTTAACTGTGAATAATTAAATATCTACCTACTGCATATGGCCTTGTTCAAAATCCAGATACAGTTAGATACACCATGCAAGGTAGATAAAGGAGTCCTGAGAGCTGCTGGTGCAATGTGGTGCAGCAAAAGTAGCTGAAAATTTTGATCTGTGTTTTTCTGATGCACCCTTTTTGAATTTAAAAGATGCAAACAAGAACAATTCAAGGAGAGTCTTCTTTCATATGAAGCAGGGCACTGTCATCATTTCAGACTTCTCGTCCAATGTGTTGCAGGGCCTGCCCACTGGAAGGAGGTTTTTCCTGTCGCTAATGGAGACCGTCAGTCACCCATTGACATCAAAACTGAGGAAACCAAGTATGATCCCTCTCTCCGTCCTCTAAATCCCAATTACGATCCGGCTTCTGCTAAAATCATCCTTAACAACGGGCACTCCACCAGTGTTGAGTTTGATGACACCGTGAACAAATCAGGTTTGTTCCTTTCCTGTTGCACTGTGTCTTTTTCCACCGTTTCCTGAATAGAGTGCATACAGCCTGAGCATGTCTCACTGCCGGGTGTGAACTCCTCATAAACAGTAAGGCTTTGCTCCTCCAGATCAGACATTCCTTTCTTCCCTGTCTTTCACCATGATACAATGTGGGAACATATTTGGACATGAGTTTGAGGTTGTATTTCTCAGAAAGTGATAGGATTCCCTTTTCACAGGGATGGTTTGATCCACCCCAACCAGCTAGATAGCGCCAGCCCCCCTGTTTGAACAGTGTTGTGTACAATTTTTCAAATGCTGCTCTCTCTCACTGCAGATGAATCCTTTGTGTCTCATTACAGGTTCATTCCAACTGAATCGCTCAAGTCTCTTATCTGACTTTAGCTGCAGGTTTGGTTATATATATTTTTCCCTTTCACAATCCATACTTGGACTTCTTGCATCAGCAAAGAGCCAATACACAACAAATGAAATATATCCCAAGTGATCCCTTTTCTTCTCTGACAAGTGTTACTGCCCCAGTCTTTTCTAGGAGTATGTAGCTTCCCATTTTGCAAGCAATAATTCTTATTCAGAAGTTCTCTGGTTTACCATAGTCTTCGTAATGTTAGTGATTTCATCTTTAAAACCTTCTCTTGGGTGGTAGGCAAGCTAGCACACCTCCCCTTGAAACTGTAGGAGTGCAGTTTCTACGAGCAATAAAACCCTCTTGTGGTTGCATGAGGCTTAGCTGAGGATCCAAGCCCATATGGTGCATTCACAAGGGTCAAAGCCAAAGGGGGACTAATTTGTGATCGTCCCATCCATTAGTCCCAAGGAACTATTGGCTTATAGTGGCAACAGGGAGAGACCTAGATGGAGACAACATCATACTTTGCTTTCCTGGACAGTCTTAGTTTAATTCTTAAATTTCCTGTTGATACAAGCAACACTGGATGTTGCCTGAAAGCCATCAGCTGACCGTCAGTGATCTGGTCTGACCCTGTCTGTGTCAGATGCCATGGGACTTCCCAGAATTAATCTCTGCTTCAAGCCTAGTAGGCGCTGGTGAACAAAAGCACATCTATTAGAAAAACATACAATCTTGATTTCAAAATTTCCAGCGATGACGAACCTACCACAGCCTTTGGTAAGTTGTTCTAATTGTTAATTACCCTCACAATTAAAAAACTCAAAATCACACTTTATTTCTGGTGTGAGTTAGATCAACTCAGCCTTTAAGCGCCTTTTTTTTTAAAAAAAAAAAAGGTAATAAATATGAATATGAATACACCAATAACGTCTTCCACTTTCGAACTCCATCCATGAAATGACAGGGCCTGAACATACTATTTCTGTAGGCGTACAATGGTACCGAAGCAGTGGTAATGTGATCCTCTTCTTACTGCTTTCCTCAGACCATGTATCCAAGGATATAGTTCATGTCACGGCAAAGCACTGACAGATGTTGATCAGATAATTAACAAATGTAATCCCCAGTCTCCTTCAGGAGACTATGTATCTTCCATGTATGGACTGGATTCTTCAGTCCACATACATGGCTTTATATTTTGGCTATTATCATGCCTTATTTATCAAAGAATTCAAATCCTTCTGTATCCATAAACTGAGTTATTCACTATTTTCCCTAATACTTGTCACTGACAAACTTTATCAGTAATGTTTTTGTTTTCTTTCAGGTCATTGATCAAAAAATACTGAATTTTCTAGGGCCAAAATTTGGCCTCTGGGGCACCCCTGTGAAGTAAGCACTCCTGCCATGTGGTGGTTTTATGAAAAAAAAAAAATCAAATTAATTGGTACTAAATACATTAGCAGCTTTTAATACATTATTAACTGACTTCCATATGAACTATTTCTTCACTTTGGTCAGCATTGAAACTGGGCTGTCAAGTCTGTAACTGTTTGTGTAATTCTGTTTATCTCTTTGGTACCACATTAGCTCCATTCTCTGAAATTGGTCTACTGATGTTTCAAAGATGTCATCTTCCAACTCTTTTCAAACTTTGAGATACTGATATTTGCCTTAAATCGCTTCTGACTAACCTCTTCCTTAATTGCTGCTGGAATGGAAGGGTTTTACCATCACTGTATGATGTGATACAAATACATCATCAGGCCATTTTCCACATTTTTCAGCAGAAATAATTCATTGAATGCTGGTGTATTTCTACGTAATTGTTTTCCCTCAGCCAGTTAGAACACCAATCTGTACACATTTCTAGGATCATTTACCTCCAAGTTTTCAGTCCTTGAAAGAAGGAGTTTGTTTTAGGAGTGCCGCTTCCCCATCCCCTTTGTTCACTAGGTTTATAGGCCCTGCAAAAGCGTGGTTTTGAGTTGAAATTTTAAGGAGGTCAAATATTTTTCCCCACAGATAAACAGTTCCGGTTCCTTTTCATTAGCCAGGCTACTTGTGTTAGCAGATAGGCAACTAAAGAAATTCTTCTTTTATCTTTATTTGGTAGTATTTTGTTCCTAACAAAGTTTAGGTTTTGGACTAAACCTAGCAGAGAGAAAAAATGACTATTGTCCTCCCCGGTGCTCTTAATTTAAAAACCATCTGGTTAAAGCTCCCATCCTTTCCCCTTGAAATCTCTATAATGAGCCAGTAAACCAGCCCAGAGCAATTCCCAAACCCTCAGAGGAGATATGGAGGCAGGAGAGTGGGGTTATTTGTTTTGCGGTGAATAAGGAAACTTTCTGAGTGTGATCCACATTGAAGTCTCTGTGCAGAGATGTTTTGGTTCCGACTGATTAGCAAAAGACGAGCACTTGCAAAAGCAAAATAATGAACAGCCCACCCATATGCGTGTGAAGTTGAAATAAATGGCTAATTAAGTGTCAGTAATATTGCAGTTGTACAATGCATATGTAGGGTTGGCTTGATTTTTTTTATGTTAATATATGCTCCTTTTTCTCAGACTTCAATCTGATGTAACTGGATCTAGCTGCAAATGAAGGGAAGAGCCTTGAAAATTTTTTTAAGCTCCCGCTACTTTCCTCCAAATTTCAGAGAGGAGAAGAAATTCTGTTCACATTATATTTTTCTGATCCTCCCCTTTATTCATAAAACCTATATTTTAAGCTTAATTTCTCAGTGATTCTTTTAAATACATTCAAGAGAGGAAACCACTTGCAAACCATCTTCTGAGAAATCTCCAGCCCGTAACAAGACAGACCTGGTGATAACAACATACCCCTTAGTGGGCCAACCCACTAATCTACACATAAATGCAATTTTGAAAGTCGTATCCTGGACAAGTGGGGGTTTCTGTAGGACTTCAAAGAAATGGGAAGCCATCTGAGACAGCTTTTGAGAAAGAGTAGGGGACTGTCCGAAGACTGAAGTCTGGTGTGAGGTTAGAGGATGTGGGTAGCAGCTCCTGTTCCTGCAGTGAAGCCTTTTCCTCTGCTTGGGTTTCCAGTGCTGACCGGGGGGCCGCTCAGCGGGACCTACAGGCTGCGCCAGATTCACTTCCATTGGGGGTCCAATGACGAAGCCGGCTCCGAGCACGCGGTGGATGGGATGAAGTACGCGGCAGAGGTAAGGCTTTACATGGAGTCATCCGTACCTCTAAGCTTGTGACTAGTTTTCCATTGTAAGAATAATGTTGCCCCTCCTCTGCCCGCTTTGCATTCTCTCCACACGTTATCGAAAGACAAGCGGTCTTCCTGCAGTGTTGTATGTTTGGTCCTTTCTCAAAGGAGAACCTATTTGAAAGCTTTGGAGAGATTAAAAAAGGAGTACAGAAGACAAGAGCTTGATAAGAGCAAGATTTAGTGTTCAAGAGTTATTTTAAACTTTGTCTTTCACTGTCTCTTCCTTGGAGAATATTTTCAAGGTCAGCTTCAGTTACAAACCACAGAATTATTTGATTTGGGGCCTGTGCAGTCTAAAGTTTATGCAAGACTTAGGAGTGTTGCATTTAGCAATGTGATGGCTATGACTTTGAGAACTGCACCTTAATACCGGTGAGGTGCCTGCTGTCTGTGGAGGTACTGTGTTTCAGTGGAGGCAGCGTGCCACAGGGAGAAATGCACCGTCTGCTCTGGCATGGAGAGTTTGCTCCTGCTCTGTCTCTTTCCGTGCATTTGAGTAGTCTACAGTAAAAATATGCAGTATCCGATTCCTCTTTGCAAATGGAAGTAACGTGGACTGTTTTGATGAGACTGAGATCTTTAACAACACATAGTTCAGACAGTGGAAGAGTTTTCTGGGGTTAAAAAGAAGTAAAGAGTATAAAAATAAACGGTAATGGACAAATAAGAGACATAATACTAAAGAAGAAAAAAAAATGAAATGTATGCACAGTGGTGTGATCAGATTTTACTGGAAATGCTATAAGAGATAGTGGTCAGAAAAAAAAAAATCAGTTTTCTAACACTAATGGGGAAAAGTGACATTTGCAGTGTTTAAAGGCTTATGTTTTCCACAGGAACCAGGTGAGATGGAATATAAAGAATTAATAGAGGTGCTTTAAAACCATTAAATACCAAAACCAAATTTCTAGCTGAGAAAATATATATATGTTTCCCATCTAAGAAACCAAATGGAAGGAGAAAATATCTCCGAATTTCTAGCCAGTCTAAAAACCTTTCCGTTACCTGTTGGTTGGGTAACCCTCTACAAGAAGCTCTCTAGATGTCACTTTGGCTTTGGGATAAGAAACCCAGAATTCAGATCAAGGCTTCTGAGCACTGTTCACACAAAAGCAAATACCTCAGAAGGAGACATGAAGATGATTTCAGTGCTCACCTTCATAAGGAAGACGTTTAAGATTTCAAGAAAAAGCATCGACTGAGTCGAAGAAATAAGTAGTGTACAGGTAAAGAAGACTGCAAGGTTCAGCCCCCTAAGCCCACCGGGAAGCAGAAGGGATCCATGGCTGCATTCTTTGTGACAACGTATGGTCTGATCAAGGTCTCTTCACAAGCTGCAGTGACAGAGCGGTGGTAAGACGGGATATATTCCTTAAAGAGAAGTCACAAGCCGTTGAGAATGGGGCTGTACCCAAAAGTGTTTCACAGCTCTGTTTGTTTGGGGGTTTTGGTTTTTAGGGGGGTTGGTTTGGGGTTTTTTGGCAAAGCTATGAGGGAGTGGGAGTGGGCTTTATTTAGTTGCGGGAGTTTTGCTTTTTGTTCTTTGTTCATTTTTTGCTCTTTTTAAAATCCACAATAAAAGTCAATTCTGACTGAGAGTATCTGTTTCCTTTCTGTGTATGTAAAAATGCAATTGTTTAAAAGTTGTTCAATATAGCTTTTGTGAACTTACAATAGTGAGTGATGCAGGCACTATGAGCTCCAGGATACTAATGCACCAGAGAATGGTTTAGTGGACTGTGTTCTCCTCCCGGTTTAATTTATAATATTTTTAGCAACTTTCCTTCAAGGATCTCTGAAGCTGTGAGCCAGCATCTGTTTCATCGTGAGCATACATGTATTATTATTGATTTCAGTGGGATTCCTTACTTGCTGGAAGTCACGTTTCAGCACTTTAGAGTCCAAATGCTTAACATTAATTACACCGTGTAACACCAAGTAACAGCTCTGTTTTACAGATATGGAAAATTAAAACTCATAGAGGTTAGGCAAGGATTGAGATTTAGAATCAAAATCTTCACACTTGTAGGTCCCTATTTCAATCATGCAGCTATGTTGCTCCCCATAAAAAGCCTTTAAAGATAAGTTCCAGCTTTCCTAAATTGCTCTTACTTTAGAGGTCTTGAAGTTCTGTATTCCAAAAACAAGCCTTTTTTTTCAAGGGTTCATCCCAGTTTGTCATTCAGTGGAGCTGCTTTTCAGCACTCCTACAGAATAAAGTTCAAAGTCTGAAAAGATGGTCACCAATTTTAGAAAAGCCAATCCTATGCCCTACTTCTGAGCCTCTTTTTCCTTATCTTAAAACTATGGGTAGTAAGATTTACTAATCCACTGAGGACTTGTGAGAGTAATTAATGTTTGTGAAGTACTTAGTCTTAAGCTCTGTGTGAGTGTTTGTGCTCTCTCCAATTTGGGAGTCGGACCGTTGCTCAAGGCTGGAATGTCCTGGCGCTTCCCAGGAACCAGGAGCTCCCGCCGGGAGCATGGCCAGGATTTAGAAAACCTGGCGTAGCAGAAGGGACTGAGGTGGTGTGGGGGTAGACATCACAGGCTTTCCCCACCTGGCTAGGTGGTGTCTTTAAGGTGCTTAAGCAACTACCACAGGACAGTTCCAGAAAAATGCATGCTGGAAATGCAAACGCTCAAACCTGAGATAATCAAGCTGCTTGTAAGTGCCTAACTACTGGTAATCATAGAAAATGATGTTTGGAAAGTATCAAAAATGAAATTTTGATGTTCAGCTTAAACTAAACAAGGGAAAGGGGTCACTGCAAGTTTAGTGTGTGTTTCTCTGCCTGTTTTCTAGCTATTCCTGTGGCTGATTAATGTTACTGAAAGCTTGATTAAGGAAAAAGAGGAGCAACTAATAACATTCTCATGATTTTCAATCACTTTTCAAAATCAGCTGTACTAAAAATGGATTTAAAAGCTGTAGTTATATAACCATAGGATATCTTGTCTTAGCTTCTCTGTTCAAAATCTGGGGACCCGACAGCAGTTTGCCAGGCACTGCAGTGTGCCAATTGCTGCTAAATTTTGAATAATCCCAGCCACTGGAAATGCTTTGTGCCATTTGTGTGAACTATATATTTACCAATTTCAAAAAATAATTGCATTTAGAAAACTGAATGGCTCTGAATACAGAAGAGTGAAGTAGAGTGTCAAAACCAGTAAAGTTGTAATATTAATTTGTGACCATTTGAGTTCAGCGGGAGTTGATGCTGTCTGTGTCTCTTGCTTTTCAGCTTCACGTGGTCCACTGGAACTCAGAAAAGTATTCCAGTTTTGTTGAGGCAGCTCGTCAGTCAGATGGATTAGCAGTCATGGCTGTATTTCTGAAGGTAAGAAAAAAATGTCTCGGCCCTCCTAATAAATCTGCATTATAAACCCAAAGGGATAATGGCGACAGTATAATTATTGCAAAAGACATAATTGTTTTATGTGGGCATTAAATTATACTGTTTCCTTCATACTGCTTACTTTCCAATATAGAAAGCTGTGCTTGCTTGAAGGTTAAAAATACCAGATTAATAGATTTTTCAAGACAGCAAGGCTCTTCAGTTTGCCTAGTCTGCAATCCTGTACAACATAAGATGTGGAACTTAATTCAGCTGCCTCTATATGGATCCGATAACTTGTGCTTGACTAACAACGGCAATTTGATTTGTTTTGAATGCTTCTTTAATGGTTTGTTTCTGAGTTTCTTCTGAAAAATGAAAAAGGAAAACCCAGAATCTGGAGAATTTCCTTGCAATTGTTATATACCTCTTTGCCTCCTGCACCAATTCTAAGATGAAATTCAACTCTTGCAACAGCTTCATTGACTTCTGTATGCGGAAGCAGATGGAGAATTCACAAAATCCATGACAAAGGATAAGGCTTTGGTCAAATCTGTGGTTTCTGCTTGGCTGCCACAGCTTCCTGGGCACAGCTAGTGCTGGTGCTGGCGCAGTCTGTGAGCCATTACATGCAGCAGTTGCAAAGAACTGCTTCAGTAATTCTGTCTTTCCAGTTTACATTATAATTATTTAAGGCAAGTTTCACTGGATTTCTTAGCACACAGATTCCGCTTGGGATACTTAACAATGATGTTTTCACTGTTATAAGCAATTTAAATTTCACTTAAGTAAAGCTATATAAAATAGTTTCAGTATTCATTTACTTTTTGATCATTTATTTTTGATATTTTTCTCTGGAGCTCAATTATTTCTTTCTTTTCTCTGGTGTTAATAGAATGGTGAATGCAACCCTCAGCTGAAGAAGATTACTGACCGCTTGGACACCATCAGAATCAAGGTGAACAAATGCTTCTAAAAGAATACTAATACTGGTGGTTGCTTTTGTTGTTTTGGTTTTTTTGGTAACCTGGCTGCTACTTCCTTCACCTTCATGTTCCCTAGTTTCATAGCTATCCATATCTAACTCTTGATTTGGGACAGTTTAGGAGCATTCTTGTTAGGAAAGTTAAAAAGTGAGTGTCACAAATGCAGGTTTGTGAATCCTGCTGATTATGTTAATTTATTGTGAGTGAGTGAGTTTACACAGTTTGATTTAGTAGCAGTTTAGAAGTTACTTGTAGCAAATCACAGGGTTTGATTGTAATATTTTAATAGTACTCAGTCATCAGTGATTAACAAAGTGATTAGACAAAATTGATCAAAACAGTGACTTAGTTACAGGTTCGAAGATGGCAAGGTTCACTCTATTACTACATGAAAGTGCATAAAGGAAAATTAAGTTACACTGAGTCGGAATGATTCGCAGAGAGATTGTGTATGCAGGGAATAAGGAGGACCCTCCCGTTGAGTCATGAGGTTCAGAATAGACGCCCCTTGCTTTCCAAACTCCTTTTCAGAGAGGAGTCTAGGTGCGGCTAGGTCCACTCTTAGTCTCAGACTTGGTCAACGGTTTATGTGAATAAGGATAATGTGTGTGTGTGTATTTATATCTAGTACATGGAAGAAGTGCACAAAAGAAAATTAGGTTACACTCGAGTGAGAGAGATCATGAATGCAGGGGATAAGGAGGACCCTCCCGTTGAGTCATGAGGTTCAGAATAGACCCCCCTGCTTTCTAAACTCCTTTTCAGAGAGGAGTCTAGGTGCAGCTGGGTTCACTCTTAGTCCCAGACTTGGTCAACAGTTTATAGGAATAAGGATAATGCAGCAGTATAAGACTCACTTTGAAATTAAATCATACGTCTACAGACTACTTAAACTGATTCATACATGCATATACACAGACATGAATACATACATATATATATGTGTGTGTATAAAAAAAAGGTATACCTGTTAAAAACTCCCCTCAAGTTCAGTGAAATATTCACGTCAAATGTCCTGGCATCTCTCAACGGGCGAGGGTTGAGCCTCAAGGAATGAAGGGTTTCAGCCCAGGCTCCACTGTCGGCCTTTGGCAATGGACCTCCAATTTCTGCAAACTTTCAGAGTTTGCTGGCTCTGAGAGGAGTCCCACTCAGAGGGAGATGCTGGTGCAGCCCACGGCAGTCCAGGAGAGCTCCAAGGGCCTCACTTAGGACTGCTGTTTATAGGCTCGTGAGATGCTTGGCTTTAGTCATTGTAAATCTCCATCCCAGCCACAATCCGGGTTGGTAATTACTGCTCTGTTTCAGAGCTGTCAGGGGTAACTGGTTGTTCTCACTCCCCGCATCAACCATGTAGGAGTTTCTGGTACAATTAAGGGGCACCTAACTGACCAACTCACTAGCCAAGGTCGCGGTCTGGCAGGAATTCCTGAGGTCGTGAAGCGGTTGAAGAGAGAAAAGGCGGGGGCGGGATGCACCACCACACTGAGCAGACAAAGAATAATTTTTATACAGTGTCCTGGTTTCGGCTGGGATAGAGTTAATTTT